GAAACATTCCCTCATTAACTGCCTAGCTGATGGTAGAAGTAAATCACTGCTGGTTTATCTGTGCCAATATGGATCATCAAAGGTCATTTTGTCTCCTGCTGCTGCTTGCCATAATTGTCAACAGTATTAAAGGGATAGTTCACCCAAAAATTAAAATTTGATGTTTATCTGCTTACCCCCAGGGCATCCAAGATGTAAGGGACTTTGTTTCTTCAGTAGAACACAAACGAAGATTTTTAACTCAAACCATTGCAGTCTGTCAGTCTTATAATGGCGGTAGTGCTGTCACCATAACCGCAATATCGCAATACCGCGCTATTGACGAGCAAACCGCAGAGGAATGCAAGAACCGCAGCAACCGCGATTTTTGCGTGTTTTATTTTTTCGTAAGGTTGTGCCCTTCTCGTTTTAATCTTCATGCATGTGGACTGAATATTAAACAAGTTAGTAATGATAACATAATGTGTACCATGCTGATTTGTACAGAGGCTCCGTAGATTTGCACTTAACAAGCCTAAACAGACAGTGAATGAGAGAGAGATCGACTGAGCGCGTGCGATTACTTGCGTCTGTCCTCCAGGCCGAGTCATATATATTTGTGAAAATAGGTTGTCATGTCCAAGGAAAGTGAAATCTCTGTCTGAGCTGGTCAGCTGAGCCTTCTAAAGTGGCGTTCAAAGTTAAAATGATTTCAACAGCGTGTTTCATTAATCTCTTTGAATGAATGAATCAGCGTTTTTGAACAGTGTAGTTGAATGACAGTCCATTTCCACCACCTTGTGGCGCAACACTGTAACTGCACTGACTGACAGCCCGTCTAGAACGCACGGGTGGAAATATCAATAGAAAGTCTCTTGTCCAGTCAGATTAGAAAATCAGATTACAACTAGGCTAACTGTTATACATATAGGCTAACGATAGCCTAACGATCTTATTGTCAGGTTTATGTTCTGTTAAGTGGACCGTTATTTTGTCATTCTCTTCCGTTTACTTCAATTCCCGTTTCAACGCTATTTGGTTTCAGTTTTATTGTCTTCTGAATATGACCTCGTTAGTTATATCGTAACACATACACACACAAATTTATATATATATATGTGTGTGTGTGTGTGTGTGTGCATGGCGATAATACAGCATACTGCACTATTGAGCCACTCAAAATTACCGCAAGGGAAATTCCCTCACTGCGACAGCCCTAGATACAGACCTTATTACGTGTTTGAGAGTTTTGCTTTCAGCGGTGGCTGCATTTTTTCCAAACATACCAATGTATTACCATTCATTGAGGTTAATATTTATCAGTGGCATAATAAAAAAGTTAGCATAGAAGTATTAGAAGAGATTTTTATTGTCTTCTGAATATGACCTCGTTAGTTATATCGTAACACATACACACACAAATTTATATATATATATGTGTGTGTGTGTGCATGGCGATAATACCGCATACTGCACTATTGAGCCACTCAAAATTACCGCAAGGGAAATTCCCTCACCACGACAGCCCTAAATCACGGCTTTGAGAGTAAAAAAAAAAACATACACAAACAAAACCAAATGAAACCCTGCGGCTCGTGACGATACATTGATGTGTAAAGACACAAAACGATCGGTCTGTGCAAGAAACTGAGCAGTATTTATATAGTTTTTTACCTCTGATGCACTGCAATGTCTGAACTGTCCTGAGCGCATCCTCGACACAGCCGGCGCGTGACACGTCTTCTTCTTGCTTTACAGCGGATTGCAGATTTATAAGTGCATTACCGCCACCTTTCTCTCAAATGGACCATCGACACTCCTAATTGAGATTGTAGATAGCATAACAAAAAATGTTTCTAAAGACAATCACCTATTGCACCTTTAAACTACTAAAGAATAAATGTTCAAACGGCTTGCCATAGCAGCATTCTCGGTCTCCTTGCGTAAATACGCTGCGCGTCATGAGCGGTAACGTAAACACCGGCGAGTAAATATACCAGCTCGCGAATGAAGAGCTTGTACAAGAAAACTCAACACTGACGTGCTGCACGTGGACATACCACTTATTACCTCAAAATCGATGGATACCCGATTTAATTTCACATAAATGATCATCCCCTCTCAACGGCTTCTGTTTGTGTGAGTGACTCTGTCGTGATTGCCCATTGTCATTACTATCTGAACATGAATACACTCTGTATCAACAGTCTGTGAGTACCGCGGCTGTCTCTTAGCAACCTAATCTTTCCTTCTGTTGCTAAGTAACCACGTGGTTGTTACCTGTTCGCTTTACGTCACTCATAGAGTCGCTGTATGTATCCAGGTGCGACAGGACTTCAGCTCAGTACTGTTAGAAGAGAGCAGGGTTATGGCTAATTATTCATCCCATTTGTTCAGGTAATGACTTCCATGTCACGGTGACCGTGAGGTGACATGTTCGGTTCACTGGAATTTTTATTGGAATGCAGTTTAAATGTAACATTTCATTTTATTTCGGCTAATTAATAGACTATATTTATAAATATGATAGTGTTAATTTGTAAATGAAAACACAACAAGCTCATTTATCATCACACAAGGGCATAAATAAAATCATAAAGTCAAAACTTTATTGGCATGATTGTCAGACGTTTACAGAATTTGCTAAATATGTGGTAGCAATTAATAGCATAGGCTAATTATACAGAACGTTAATTAGGTAAAGCGATACACGAATTGAAAGGGGAAATAAGCACATATAACAGTAAATATAAAAACGTTAACATAATAATAATAATTAAAAAATAAATGTTAAATGTTAATAAAAAAAAAAGTTTTATCCATATAGTCCGGGGTTACTATGGTCACACAGGTTTGTTTACGCATTAAACTCATGAACCGAACATGTCACCTCACGGTCACCGTACATTTCCCCTTTTAGAACAAATATTTCCAAATACCACAAAACAAATAACATTTAGCTGTTAAAAACATTTCAATGACAATGCCAACATGGCGAATTTAGTAGGTTATATCTAGTCTTTACACTACATAATAACATTTTTTAATGGCGCCGAAGTAAGTTCATTGTCAAATGTAGCATCTAATCTAACAATGAAATGTCGGAACTCCTAAAAAAAAGTTAAGTAATAGTTTAAACAGTTTTTGGCTGTTCATGGCTGTTCATTGGCTGTTCAACACTTTTCATGGTAACTTTTTGGCTTAAATCAGTGTTTTCATTTTGAAAGATCATGCTTCAATCAAGTAGCTCAAAATAAGTGTGACACTTCTCGTCATTCTGTGCAAGGGACTGGATATGGGGAGAGAAAATGTTGAAATAAAGTGTTATTTCATGCATTTTTATCAAGAGAAAATAGGGAGACTTGTGAATGTCCAACGTTCTGTTATGTTGGTATTTTAAAACACTTTCTTTTATGTTGGTTTTTTGGGACAAGTTACCATTTTGGCGAAGTGTGGAGCATGTGCTTGGGCTGACGAGGACAAGCTAAAACATTTCAAGGTGATTAAATAAAAAAAACAACTCTAATGGGAGGGCTAGGGATGTAAACCTTGGTATCTTTAGATTGCTAACATCCAACGTGGTATGTGTGAAGTTATATATACATGTAACTTGTTAGTATGTTATTATAACGCTTTTGCTGAAGTTGCATGGACAGTGGTTCTACATGATGGGAACATTATCTTTATGAAATATTTCATATAGGATGAACTAAAGCAAACTGAGTAAACTCCATTGAAATTAGACATGTCTAAATAACTTCATTCAATCACATGCAACCACTGTCCATGATTGACAGTTATGTTTTTTCGCTTTGGTTTGCTCCTTTATGAACTGGGTCCAAGACAATATTCAAAAGCATCGCTTGTTTTTACTTAACAACAAGCCAATTCATATATATTATAGAAGTTTCCATTACATATATTTATATTATAAATAATATTTATTTTGGGTTTTATTATTTTAGGTCTAGTCAGTTTTAAAATTCCAGGCTTTTCATGACCGTATGGAGCCATTTCTCTAATAAAAATGACAGTTGTTGAGGGAAAATAACAAATGAAAATAAGAATGATTATAGTTTTATTTAGAATTTGTGTGTGTGTGTTAAAAGAGTAGTTCACTTCTGTCATCATTTACTCACCCTCCACTTGTTCCAAAGCTGTATGAGTTTCTTTCTTCTGTTGAACACAAACGAAGATATTTTGAAAAATGTTGGTATCCGAACAGTTGATGACCACAATTGACTTCCATAGTATTTTTTTTTTCCGACTATGGAAGTCAATGGTGCTCATCAACTGTTCGGATACCAACATTTTTCAAAATATCTTCGTTTGTGTTCAACAGAAGAAAGAAACTCATACAGCTTTGGAACAAGTGGAGGGTGAGTAGATGATGAAAGAATTTTCAATCTGGAAGTGAACTACTCTTTTAAGCTTTCTTTTTTTTGTCTTATTTGTAATCATTTTAAGCCATTTTGCGGCATCCTTGAAAGTTTGCTGAGGCCCTTCATTGGGCACCAGCCCCCTGATTGAGAACCACTTAGCACAATGTAATGAAACTGAAAGTCTTGAGACATGGTTGCACACTTCACCTTTCTGAGTGGCTAAAAAAACAAACAGCCAGAGACTTGATGTTCAACGTCCAAAGACGCCAGTATGACGCACGAGTACATAGACAAACCATTACAAATTGTTCGAACGCATCTCAAGAATGAACCATGACTGCCCCCTAAATCTCTGTGCATGTGCTGTAAGAGCTGTTCAGTATTCAGTTTGGGCTCTGATGCAGACCTGGGTGATTACGACATGCCTGCGTCACCTCCAGCACAGAGCTGATCTCACTAAACATGAAATTGTTTACTCACAGATGCATTCAGCTTTTAGTGAGATAGATGTTATATATCGATAATATTATAATACTATTGTAATTCCTGTATAATTATATATCATATTGTAATTATTATAAATAATATTATCTACATAATTTGAGTAAAAAGGTGATCTGAGAAATACAGCTGAATTACATAAGGACAAAGATAATGAGGGTGAATACACACTGCTGACTTTATTTTGAATTACCATCCATAAAATAAATCTGAAACAATCTGATCAGTCGTTTTGTTCAATTTCTTGACGTCAGACGTCACATTTCAGTATTGAGATGCACTGTGATCACATTGGCAACATGGTAATCATTCAAACTCATATTTGCACATATAAGGGTTACGGTCTTAATATTTCACCTTCTTACACAAGTGTTCTACTGGCAGATATTTACTGGACGCTGCGTACATGCAGGTTCACAGGCACATTAGCAACTATGGCAACAAAAAAAGTTCACATTTAGTCACCAGCACCACCATGAAGACTAGTACAGTTTTAGGGAATAAAACAAACTCTACTCTAAACAGTCCAAAAGTGATCCATCCTTGTATCGCTGAGTCTATGTTGATGCAATTTTTTATTGCATCTCTATTTGTTAGTGTATTAGTTTGAACCAAAGCTAAGCAAGGTTGTATACTAATGTTGAACAGATATTTCTAAAACTCCAAGGAGACCAAAAACTACCTCACAAAACCTACTCACTTTCACAAGCACAATATATCACATATGGATGGATTCAGTCTGGGAATGAATATCAGATGGCCCACTTATATAAGATCGATAGAAAACATGTTTCAGTCTTTTCAATCACATTAAGTTGATTCATAGCAGTTCAAACAATATAAGACATTGATGGAGTGTCGGCATGTTCATACAGTGGTTAAGATGAACAAGGTGTACAAAACATTAAAAGGAATGTGGCATTTTTCTGTTGGTCAAAGCATGCAAGGCTAATATCAGATAGCTAGCACATTGTACAATTGCATAAAGCAACACTGCAGCATATCAGAGAATGAAACAAAAGCAATAATGCCAAAATGCATGATGTCAATCAAAAACGGTAACTACCATTAAAACAGGATAACTTTTAAAAGTACATCCACATCACATTTCTGTATGCCAGACATCTGCTTCGTTACATTCCCTTGATGCTATTTATAGATTAAACTGGTACGCTTTCTTCCTTCTTTGCATATGACCAATCCAGGGCATGTGAAGGTGAAGTACTGACAAAGCATTAAAAAATATATAATCACAATGGAGCTGTGTTCCAAAATTCCCTTCAACACTTTATCAACAACATCAAGACATTTGGCTAGAACAGAACATGATTTTTACATAGTGGGCACATGGAGTAAACTGGTACCTATAGATGGATTTAAAACAATGGCAGAAAACATGGAGAGCTGGATACTGCGGACAAATACGTAGAGGGAGAAAAGGATGATAGAGATGTTTAATTCTTCAGAATGGCATCGTACATCTGGTATACATACTGAGACACTTCTGGAGCCCTGCATTTCAGAGAGAGCTGAAAGAGAAAAAAAAATAGCAATGAGTAACTTAAAATTAAATGCGGAGCGCTCTAATAAAAATGTGCAACAAAGGTACAGTCATACAAATAAGAAATAGTTTCATTTTATGAAAAAGAAAAAAAAAGTCCTTATAATCAAACATTGACAATTATTAATGTTACAAATAAAATCAAAAATTAATGAGACAAAGGCATTTTTGCGATCAGAACAGACCTGAGTAGCTTTTTGGGTCATGACCCACCACTCTTGTGGGCTACATATATGCAATAATATGTACTATGAATGACTGCTGTAAGAGGTTTTTCTTGTACTGGAGTTATAGCTGTTTTTCACCTTTTCAAGAAGCCTTGAGTGAAGACAGACAAGTAAAGTGACGTGTGGCCAAGTATGGTGTCCCATACTCAGAATTTGCGCTCTGCATTTAACCCATCCAAGTGCACACACACCGTGAACAGTGCAGAGCAGTGGGCAGCCAATGCTGCGGCGCCCAGGGAGCAGTTGGGGGTTTGGTGCCTTGCTCAAGGGTCCCACCTCAGTCGTGGTATTGAAGGTGGAGAGATTGCGGGTTATTCACTCCCCCCACCAACAACTCCTGCCGGACCTGAGACTCGAATCCGTGACCTTCGGGTTACAAGTCCGACTCTCTATTCATTAGGCCATGACTGCCCCAAAATGCATGATGTAAATCAAAAACGGTAACTATAGTGGTTTTTAAGTGGTTCCCATTAAAACAGGATAACTTTTAAAAGTACATCCACATCATATACACTACACAATACAATACACTACATTATGGCCCAATCCCAATTCTATTTTATACCCCTTCCCCTTCCCCTTCCCCTTCCCCTCCGCCTACCCCTTCCCCTTGTCCCTTGAAACAGAGTGTCAAGGGGTAGGGGTGAAAATATTCCCCTAAGAATTGGGACACCACTACTATGCCGTCACACGTCATCATACATCGTCTAGTTTCTACATTACACACACATACTGGTGTGCATTAGAGCTTTTAATTACCGTTCTATATTACTGCGTTGCTTACTGACACACACACACACACACATATATATATATACATACAGTGGGTACGGAAAGTATTCAGACCTTTCAGAATTTTTCACTCTTTGTTATATTGCAGCCATTTGCTAAAATCATTTAAGTTAATTTTTTTTCCTCATTAATGTACACACAGCACCCCATATTGACAGAAAAACACAGAATTGTTGACATTTTTGCAGATTTATTAAAAAAGAAAAACTGAATTATTACATGGTCCTAAATATTCAGACCCCTAAATTTAAAATGCTGTACAATATGCAGTTAGTCAAACAAAAATTACTGTCTTGCATAGTGAACACTGGGTTGTGCAAGAGAACATGCAAAACAGCTTTTGAATAAATGGAACAATTTGTATATACAGTAAATGAATATATATGATAATACATGTGAGTTATTTTATACCTTATAGGTATGTATATATATATATATATATACAGTGCCCTCCATAAGTATTGGAACAGTAAAGAGAATATTGCTTTGTTTGCTGTGGAGTCAAGACACTTGAAAATATGATTCAAAGATGAATACGAGACAAAACTACAGAATGTCACATTTTATTATTAGCTGTTTCTACACAAATGTTTTACCAAATAAAAAGGACAGCACTTTTATAGTTCATCCCACTATTTGATGTGAGCATAAGTATTGGGACAGATGAACTTAAGGCAGATGTAAGATTAAAAGCTATTATTTTGTTGCAGATCCCTCGCGTGCAATCAGAACAGTGAGTCTACGGCCCATAGACATCACCAGACTCTTGGTTTCATCCTTTGAAATGCTTTTCCCAGCCTTTAATGCAGCCAATTCCAACTGTTGCTTGTTTTGGGGAGTTTCTGCCTTTAGTCTTCTCTTCAGCTGGTGAAATTCATGTTCAATCGGATTTAAATCTGGAGACTGATTTGGGCCATCTAAGACTTTTTTTGCCCTGATAAACTCCTTGACTGAACTGGCAGGGTGTTTTGGGTCATTGCCCTGATGCAATATGAAGCGTTTTCTGATGAGTCTGGTGGCATTTTCTTGAATATTGGTAGCCAAGATGGATTTGTACCCTTCCAAATTCATTCTGCTACTGTCATCATACATTAAGTCATCATTAAAATTGAGAGGGCCTGTTCCAGAGACAGCCATGCATGCCCATGCCATGACACCACCTCCACCATGGACGAGGCTGTATGCCTTAGGATCATTTGCAGTTTCCTATTTTCTCCACACTTTTGCTTTCCCATCACTTAGATAAAAATTAATCTTTGTTTCATCTGTCCATAAAACTCTGTTCCAAATCTCTACTGGATTTTGCAAACTCTAATCTTGCCTTTCTATTTTTGGTGCTGGTCATTTTGCTGTGTAGCCTCTGTAATTCTGTGTCGAAGTCTCCTGCGGACAGTCGATTGCCAAAGCGTCACCCCAGCTTTCTGGAAGTTGTTGGTGATTTTACAGACACATATTTTAGGGGTCATTTTCACAGCTTTTATGATTTGTCTGTCATCAACTGCTGTTGTTTTTCTCAGGCGATCAGGTCGTTGTTGTTGGCTGCTGATGTCTCTGGTGGTCTCCATGCCCTTTGTTTTTGCTATAGCTCTAACTGACTTCCTCTTTTCTTTTAGCATCCAAATTGCTTGCTTTTCTCTCTCAGAGTCAGCTCCCTCGTCTTCATTTTGGTTTGTGTGTGTTGTCATCAAATGCAAGACTCAGAATACAGAAGCAATGGATAAACTGATACGACACATTCCCTGCTTTTAATATCTGAAGAATTAATGCAACAGGACACAGCTGATCACTTAGAGAGAACTGTGAGGCAACTGTTCCAATACTTATGCTCACATCAGATAGTGGGATGAACTCTAAAGTCGGGCGTACACGGTGCGATTCTGAAGGTCGGAACCAATAAATCGTACGAAAGCAGTCACACACGACACGAATTTACTACGATTTTACAAACTCTGACGTAAGCATTACATTTCGCACCATTCATAAAACTATGGAGTCTGAGGACGAAATAGTTTTCTTTGTGGCAGCTATGGCTTGTGATGTCCAAAAAAAGAAAAGAAAACAAAGGACATGGCAAAGAGAACGGTTGAAATGCAGAGAAAAGCATGGACTTTCTGTTCTTCATAAACAACTCGAGGTGAGTAGGCTATTTCTGAATTTCTGTTTAACTCGTTTTGCTGGAAATACAACAGGCATATTCATTCATAAAGCTGAATGGCAAATTTGGCACAATTCGGAATAACAAATAAAAAATAGAACTGTATAATTAAACTCAAATTACTAAATAGACTATTTATATAGACTACTGTCTTGTCTGTGACTGCGTCGAATTTCAAGTCTCCGTGTGAGTGAGCACCGCAGAAAGGCAAGAATCTCCACAGCGCCCACCGTTATATAAATTATAATAATGTTAACAGACAACAAAAAATTTTTGGTGTATAAACACACACACACACACATATATATTAGAGATGCACCGATTGCAATTTTCTTGGCCGATTCCGATTTCTTGTGATTTGCCGATACCGATTTTTGCTGATTCCGATTTTCTTTCCAAGAACTATAATTGACAGCATATACAAACAAAAATCTACTTTTCTTCAATGCAAAGTTTTATTTTCATAAAAAAAAAACACAAGTAAAAAGTAAGTAATAAAAGAGGGGGTCTACACATACAGTGGTGTGAAAAGTTTTTGCCCCCTTCTTGTTTTTTTAATTGTTTGCATATTTGTCACACTTAAAAGATTCAGATCATCAAACAAATTTTAATATTACACAAAGATAACCCGAGTAAATACAAACTGCAGTTTTGAAATTATGATTTCATTTATTAAGGGAAAAAAGCTGTCCAAACCTGCCTGGCACTACGTGAAAAAATAATTGCCCCCTAAATCTAATAACTGGTTGTGCCACCCTTTGCAGCAACAACTGCAATCAAGCGTTTGCGATAAATGGCAATGAGTCTTTCACAGGCATTTTGGCCCACTCTTCTTTGCAGAATTGTTTTCATTCAGCCACATTGGAGGGTTTTTGAGCATGAATGGACTGTTTAAGGTTATGCCACAGCATCTCAATCGGATTTAAGTCTGGACTTCGACTTGGCCACCCCAAAACCTTAATTTGTTTTTCTTGAGCCATTCAAAGGTGGACTTGCTGGTGTGTTTTGGATTTGTTTCTCATCTGTTCTTGAATTTCTTTAGATCACGGCATGATGTGTTGCTCTTTAAGCATACTTCACTTTGTCAGACAGGTTCTATTTAAATGATTTCTTGGTTCAACAGGTCTGGCAGTAATCAGGCCTGTGTGTGGCTAGTGAAATTTAACTCAGCTTTCTAAAATGATGTGGTTAATCACAGTTCTTTCATGATTTAAGAGGAGGGGCAATTAATTTTTCACATAGGGCCAGGTAGGTTTGGACAGCTTTTTTCCCTTAATAAATGAAATTATCATTTAAAAACTGCATTTTGTATTTAATTGCATTATCTTTGCGTAATATTAAAATTGGTTTGATTATCTGAATCTTTTACGTGTGACAAATATGCAAAAAATAAACAAAACAGGAAGGGGGCAAAAACCTTTTCATGGCACTGTACATATATATACATATATATGTATATTAAAGGGGTCATGAACTGAGAAATTTTTACAGTCTGCTCCGTTCAAGAGACACGATAGCATGGAGCGGATCATATGTGCGAGTCGGCGCACACCACAATACGTATCAGACCCATTTGAATTCTACAGAATGCTATATTTTATAGCAATATGGATGAGATTGTGGCTGTCATACCCTTTCAAAGACTGCTCATAATACAGTTTAACAGCTCTAGCCCAAGCTGTGATATAAACGACTGCTATTGGCTATTTAAAAACAGGGACGGGGCAGCTTGATATGTCCCGTCATGTCTTCCTGTTTCAGTTCAAATGATGTAAACACATACAATAACGCTGC